GGCATTTTCTGTCTATACTGAGGGTCTATGAAAACTGTTGTTATCATAGGTATGTTCTGAAGAACTGAAGATAAAGCAATCAACAATTAATCTATACTAGAGGTCCATAAGGGATGTTTTTATCATTTGGTATCCTTTGTCTATATGGAAGGTCGATAAGAAATTGTTTCATCGTTTGGTATCCTTTGTCTACTGACAGTCGAAAAGGAATTGTTTCATCATTTGGTATTCTTTGTATACTGAAGGTCATTAAGAAATTGTTTCATCGTTTGGTATCCTTTGTCTACTGAAGGGCGATGTGGAATTGATTCATCATTTGGTATCCTTTGTATACTGAAGGTCGATAAGAAATTGTTTCATCGTTTGGTATCCTTTGTCTACTGAAAGTCGATAAGGAATTGTTTCATCATTTGGTATCCTTTTTTCTACTGAATGGCGATGAGGAATTGTTTCATCGTTTGGTATCATTTGTCTACTTAAGGTCGATGAGGAATTGTTTCATCATTTGGTATCCTTTGTCAACTGAAGCTCAATAAGAAATTGTTTCATCGTTTGGTATCCTTTGTCTACTGAAGGATCATAAGGGATATTTACATCACATATTCTTTGTGGATACTGAAGGTCCCTTAAAGATGTTTTCGTCAATTTTTATCTTCTGTCTATACTGAAGGTCCAGTAATGCTGTCGTCATCACTTGGTATCCCTTTTCTGTACTGAAGGTCCATACGAGGTCTTGTGATCACTAATTAACCTATGTCTGTACAGAAGGTCCATAAGATGTTTTCATTATTGGTATCATTTGTCTTTACTGAAGAACTGGGTGTAAAGCAAACAACAATCAATAATCTAGATTTTTTCATAGGGGATTTTTTTTAATCATTTGGTATCCTTTGTCTATACTGAATGTCATTAAGGGATGTTTTCAACATTTGGTATCCTTTGTCTTTGCTGAGAACTGGGTGTTACGCAAACAACAATCAATCTATACAGAAGATCCATAAGGGATATTTACATAATATGAAGGTCCCTAAAAGATGTTTTCATCATTTTATATTAATTGTATAACCTGAAGGTCCAGTAATGCTGTTGTCATCACTTGGTATCCCTTTTCTGTACGAAGGTCCATACGAGGTCTTGTTATCACTAGTTATCCTTTGTCTGTACTGAATGTCCATGGGAGCTCTTGTGGTCATTTGGGATCCTTTGTCTCCACTAAAAGTCCATTGGAGCTGTTGCCTACTATCTTTTTATAATCTGTTGTCTGCATTGTTGTGACTGATATTTCTGCTCATGGCGACTGGTAAGTTTTAAGTAGGACATTTTATTTTAACAATGTGCTGAAATCTGGATCAATATAAACTTAAATTCAACACAAAGTGATATCTCCTAGCTGACTAAAAAAACAACAACTAAAACAATAAAGAAATGCACAGATCATGACGTAGACTGTGTGCAAACGCCATCTCTGAAAACCAGAAATAGAGGAAATCCTCGTACTGAAATAGATAATTATGGAGAAATCAAATTGCTTTCAGGTTGATATCGTAACGTACCATTAAACATTCATCAACAACTAAGCTGGAACAGAAGAAAACTATGAAATGCAGCATGGCAAAAGCTTTGTGGATTTAAACATATCTATGGATACCACAAGGATCTAATGAAAACATTGAAAAATTGGACCATCCAATGTCTTTTAAAACTTCAGTCAACCACATTTTTAAACAAGTTATCAAATCTGGTTGTTTAGTTCCAATGTCTGTGTGTTTCTCTCATGAAGGTACATCTGAATTACCAAGAGAGCGATTAGTATATTTTGGACACTATTATGTACAGATGTCTCGTCCGGTCAGAATGGGGACGTTGAATCCGATGCCTCATGTAGAGAGAGTACCACGCTCTTTGGACGTTAAGAACCCTTGCAACAACTATTTCAGAGGTTCGTTCGTAGCCTGTTGCAAGGCAAAATTTCTGTTCCTTTCCAATTAACCCTCATTTTCCAGTGGCGGTCAAAATTTCCCCGACCTTCATCCCAGACGGCCTCTATTACAGGACCTACCTATTGTATCTAGTGTTAGTTTGTTCTCAACCTGAACATGCATGAAATATTTGCCACTGGACATTAAACAACCAACAATCAATCAAGCGCAGGGAGGGGGCGGGGATATTATAATGTACTGGGCCCTGAATGTGACAATAAATGAAACACCTGGAAAGAAAAATATAAGTACTTTGGACAGATGCTGCAGATAGAAAAGGCCAACAATGTTAGAATTCAGCTAACGTGGCCCTTAGTTGGAAATGAAAGAGACGAAGAGCAAATGAAACATAAAGGTTAAACAAGGACCTGGGACTCAAATGAATAAATATGAATGAGTTGACACTGTTGCCGTAAGTACAGGGAAAACTGAAATTCCAGAGGCAGGCGTTTAATGTTCCATGTTGAAGTGGGGTTAAATAAATATTATGGTATGAAATTTTGTTATGATATTTTTCAAAACTACGGACAGATGGGGTGCTTAAAATACCACGTGGTATAAAAGCATTTTGGGCATACATAAAAATAGGAATTTAATTTATGTAACAAACATGTCCCAAGAAGAACCATCACTAGAGTATGTTGGCTCTGTTTGGGACCCTTACTTACAACAAGGACATAGATAGCATTGAAAAAGTTCAAAGGATGGCTGTCCATTTTGTAACCAACAAATACGGAAACACTTTAAACGTTGATAACATGTTATAACACCTTGGATGGCTCATCCTCTCTGACAGAAGAAAATATTCACGATTGTTTATGCTATATAAAATAGAACACGATAAGGTTGCAGTACCTAAAAACAATTTATTTTCACAATAAAGACAAAAAAGATGCAAATTGGAACAGTTTCCAAATTCCATCATTCAAAACACAGTAGAGTAAACTTTAAGAATCTTTATATCCTGAGAACAATAACCGACTGGAACAAAATACCTAATAACTTCATAAATTGCACATCAGTAGACTCTTCCAAAACATCATATTAAACACCGCTTTTCATATCAAACGACCTCAATCTAATTAAAATTGAAACGAACTATACATTAAATTCTGTAATTTTCATTTTTCCTCTATTTTTAGTTTGTATATTAAACTATGCCTTGCTCCTGTGACATAATCTTCAATTTGTTGAAGGCGGTCACTATGTAGTAAAAGTAGAAGTAGAAGAGATTATGATGAAATGATGAAAAAACTGGGTTAATTAGAAAGATATGGGTTATCGTTGCTGTAGTGTATGCCACATGAAATGAGAAAGCTTCAGGGATTCTTTAATCACCGAGCCTATTAAATGAGAACATATTTGACTTAAGAAATTTATGCTGAAAGAAATACTAAACTGTCCAATCAAACAATAATTGCATCTATAAGGCAACTATTCGTCCTATCGGGAGTGAAACCGAATTAGTCAACACCTGCACGAGTGTCGTTATATGCCTGAATTATGACGGTTTTGTCTTTTCCTGATGGCAAAGTGACTATACCATCAAATCTTTCTCTCTACAAGCTTTGATTGCTTTAATCTGTTTTTTTTTCAAAAATACTGTGTTTCCATGACAGAGTTCGTCCCTTGTATAATTTAAAACACGGCAACTGGAACATCGTGTGATCCAGATGCCATATTCCACTGGTATCGTAATTCGACTTTTGACCAACCGGAACAAAAACCGATCTACATCAAGGTCACCATAACAATACTGGGTTTGAGTCTGTCATTACTTTTTCTACAAACGCTCCATTCTCAGGGAAACATGTCGTACAATGATGTTATGATGGATGATTGCATGTGTATGTAACATACATTAAGGGCAAATGTAATGCCTCTAAATGAAGGCAACAGTATTTTACCGATTTTCAAATCTCGTAAATCGATAAGGAAGAGACAAATCAAGGTAACAAACAAAAGCTGAGGGAATCGCATGAACTTCAAAAGGAGCGAGACTGGGTGCGTCGACGGGGTAAGCATCTCCTGCTATACATGTATCACCCACCATGCGAATTCGCTGTCAAAACTTCACAACTCGGAATAGGACAAAATCGGTTAAATCAAAGTTCAGACGACATTACTGGTATCTTAAGATCTAAGACTGATACAACATGTGACCAGTGAGTTAAAAACACCGCCACTCATCATATCGGTCAACCAATTTGTAATGATAACCGTGAAATTTATGTTATGTCAATTTCAGTCGTTTTTCCTAATGACTCTGTTGGAGCATTGCTTGTGTGAGGAGCACACACATGTTAATGAAGTCCGAATAGTGTGAACATGCACGAGCTTACGTTTTAAGTGAGATATGTAAACGCCATACGATGGAGCATACGGTATGTTACTGCTGAGAAATGTGAACTTGACAATTAGAAAGTTGAAATCATCACGTTTGTCTTAGATTCTAGTTTGAAATCGTTCATATATGTCAATATCGAGGGAAAGATCAAGATATGAAGCATACCCTTTACTTTCGGTGGTATCCTTAATATCAAGTACACTAGGATAGCACTATTTGAAATGCTTCTGATTGAGTGACAGAACATCATCAATATATCTGAAAGTGAAATAATAGTTATCAAAGGTACCAGGCTTATAATTTGATACGCCAGACACGCGTTTCGTCTACATAAGACTCATCAGTGACGCTCAGATCAAAATAGTTAGAAAGCCAAACAAGTATAAGAGTGAAGAGCATTGAGGACCTAAAATTCCAAAAAGTTGTGCCAACGAGCTTTGCAAGACTCTTTTTCTTTTTGTCTTTGATAAGGTTCGGCATAAAATCTGCTTCGTGTGAGTACAAAAACAAGTAGTGGTGTACAATTAGAACCCATTGGAATGCTGACTATCTGCTGAAATATGAAACTGGTTTCAGATTCTGATAGTTTAAATCCTAAATCGAAACTAGATAATATATTAATAACATGATTTGAACAAACCATTCAACCAAACCAAACAAAAAACTACGACAAATACAAAAAATAGCTTTTACTTTTGATTCATGTAGGCTTGATTTGTCCCAACTTCTGATATTTACAGTTGATTATTTTATTGATACAATTATGAACGAGTTTCCTCTCCATTGTTTGAAGGAAAGCAATTTTAAACAGATTGTCAATGAACATGTGATTACACTATTACACTTTTGTATTTGAAGAATCACTGAGAATCAACAGTTTGTAAAACAATAAATAACATTTTACACTAAAATCAGTACATATTTAACAATTATAATTAACATTTAATTACAAACAAACAAAGACTATTATGCAGATAACTGTAAATATTGCATTCTTAATACTGTTCCATCAGTTTCAGTAATTTCTTAGGTCGGTAGAATGATACTGTAATGAATGGAATGGCTTTGTTCTGTACATAACTATCACAATTTCACAAAAAAATATTGTTAATAATTCCATAATAAATGATCAATTATTAGCCAGACAACAACACAACAATGCACAGCATGCAGCAAACAGACAACAATCCTCGGCAGATTCTCTGTCCCGGTCTTCTTGGGTTTTCCCTTCTACATATACTCTGTAATATATAGTAATGAGAAAATAAAAAAAACATTTCTATGATATTCACACATGTGCCAGTTCATATTTCAAGAAATAAATTCATACAAAAATATATAAATTAAATTTTTGGGCATATTTTGTTTTTAACTTTCAGCAGCAGACTATCAATTATCATTAACTAAAGAAAGACATGACTGAACAAAGTATGAAACGTCCGGCATTTCTCAAAAGAAACACATCGAGCATTTCTCAAGAAGAACATCGAAACCCTATAAATAGGACGGGAGAAATTGAATCAGAAAACTCGGATTCATTACAGAATGCATTTCTTCGCTAGCCAAGGGTCGATTTCACAAAAACACTTACGACTAATATTGATCTTAAGTCATGAACAATTCAATATACTTACGATCAATCTTAGTCGCAAGTTTTTTTGTGAAACTGACTCCTGTCCCTCTCCACGTGGACCAGAAGGAGACTAGATCGTATCTCTCGGCTAGCGAAGATGCTTTAAAGAAGTAATTAACTTTAAATACGATTGTTAACCAATTTTTTTTTGCGTTTTTCCTAATTACAAAATGTATCTTGAAAACTTTAATAGATAGATAGAAGCTGTAAAATAAAAAAAAAATTATCAGCAATCCTAGATCTACAAAAATACCAATATGACTGATACCATCAATAGACTCCTTATAGATGTTATTGGCCTTAAATGGCGATTTATGACCAATTTTGCGTTAAAGCAAATTACTAAAATTGAGAATGGAAATGGGGGATATGTCAAAGAGACAACAACCCGACCAAAGAGCAGACAACAGCCGAAGGCCACCAATGGATCTTCAACGCAGCGAGAAAATCCCGCACCCGGAGGTTGTCCTCAGCTGGCCCCTAAATAAAATTGTGTACTAGTTCAGTGAAAATGGACGTCACACTAAACTCCAAAACATATAAATGAACTAAAATTAAAAAAACATACAAGACTAACAAAGGCCAGAGGCTCCTGACTTGGGACAGGCGCAAAAATGCGGCGGGGTTAAACATGTTTTGTGAGATCTCAACCCTCCCCCTATACCTCTAGCCAATGTAGAATAAAGAAACACATAGCAATACGCACAGTAAAACTAAGTTCAAAAGAAGTCCGAGCCCGATGTCAGAATAGGTAACAAAAGAAACTAAGCAAAATGACAATGATACATAAATGAACAAAGGACTACTAGCAGTTACTGACATGCCAGCTCCAGACCTCAATTAAACTGATTGAAAGATTATGTCTTCATCATATGAAAAGCAAGTACAATCCCTCCCGTAAGGGGTTTAGTATCATAGCATCATAAAATATATGAGAAGAACATAATCCGTATCATGCCAATAACTGGTTTTAGAATAAATGTGTTTATTTCCAATGCAAAGACCCTATGAGTGAATCAATATTAATACCAAAATATGCAATCCTTAATGACTTGACAACAGTATCGTAACTATATCCTTTCCGAATACGTCTGTTTAAAGGTTTGGTTAGCTTTTGCGGTGAATGCCGACATTTTTGTGCTTTGTAAAGAATATTATCATAAAATATTGGATGTGAAATACCCGAACGTATAAGATGTCTGCATGTTGATTTATATTTACGAATGATGTGCTTGTACCAATGATAAAATTAGTAAATGTTTTGACTAGTTTGTGATATCGAAAACCCTGGTGTAATAATTTTTCAGTAATACAGAGATTTCTTTCGTTGAAATCAAATACGTTGTTACATACACGAGCGAATCGAACAAGTTGAGATATATAAACACCATAAGATGGTGACAAAGGAACGTCGCCATCTAAAAATGGATAATTAACAATAGGAAATGAAAAATCATCTCTTTTATCATAAATTTTGGTATTAAGCTTCCCGTTAAAGATATAGATATCAAGATCCAGGAAAGGGCAGTGTTCATTGTTAGTATTAGCTTTATTTAAAGTCAGTTCGGCAGGATAAATCTCTTTAGTGTACATACTGAAGTCGTCATTATTGAGAGCCAATATATCATCTAAATATCTAAAAGTGTTATCAAATTTTTGAATAAGATGTTGTTTCGATGGGTCTTTGCTGATTTTAGTCATAAATTGTAACTCATAACAATACAGAAAAAAGGTCCGCAATAAGTGGTGCAAAGTTAGTCCCCATGGGAATTCCGATAACCTGACGATATACGGAATCTCCATAGCGAACAAAAATGTTATCTAGTAAAAATTCAAGGGCAGTTATAGTATCAAAGCAGGTCCAATTGACATAGTTCTTTTGTTTGTTGTTACTAAAAATTTTCCTAAAAGAGTTTAAACATATATATTCGCATTCCGACTTTTTAAATGCCCATTTAATCAGGTGTGTGAATTTTTTCTTAATAAAATTATGAGGCAAAGTGGTATATAGGGTAGAAAAATCAAAACTTTGAACAGATTCGAAATCACCAATATAAGCATGCAATTTATCAAGTACTTCCAACGAATTTTTGACACTCCAAAAGTAATTAATTCCACTATTTTCAAAGGCCTTATTTGAACAATTTATTACCAGGGTTTTTTATTGTACCAAGTGTACTAGTAAGTATAATAGATAGTTTAGTAGTGGAACAATGGCTTGAAGACGAAATAAATCTATATTTGTAAGGAGTTTTGTGCAGCTTCGGAAGCCAGTACATAGTTGGAACTTTCATTGTATTTGGTTCTGCTTGTAAAGAGGTAGCTAAAAGTTTGTTTGTTACAGATGTCATTTTCCGAAAATGGAGTCAGTTGGAATGTTGGTGAATTCGTGATTTCCTTTTTTAGAACTTCAATGTAAAATTTACGTCAAACAATAATGATATTGTTAGCAGCCTTATCAGACTAGTATCTTTGAAACAGAAAAAAAATACAGATAGGCAGGAACTGTAGGCAATAAAAATGATCATGCAGTTGAGATATGTACAAATTATTAAGACACATGACAGGAACTGTCAATAGATTGTTTATTGAAGTTAATTGTTCTTTAATGGTGATTTTTACGTTAACTAAATTTTATTAGTTTATGAATGTTATTTTGAAAAAGGAATTGATAAAGAGAAAATAAACAAGCAAACCGTTAAGATCTACAATTCATTCATTAGTCTTTAATTTAGTGATGACTGTTTAGCGGGGGATACTATGATAGGTGGAGGGCTTCGAATATTATGCAAACAAATAATGTTTTTATCCCAATATTTTACTTTTCTACTAATGTACTCCTTGTATATGAAAACGAAAGCATCAATTAACCTTGATATCACATGAAAAGCTGCATAGAAGAAAATAAAAAAAAATTGTATCCGAAAAAAATCTTTGCATATTTCCTCAGTATATTTCTGTTAATTGAGCGATTCGGATTTTAAGGAGCGGCCTGTAGTTCCTTATTCTATTGTAATCAAAGCGTAGGTTCACATGTCACGCATGTTGCAATATAGTAGTCTTTTTTTTTTATTCCCTCAAGCTTTTCATGTGTACCGGTGTATTGTAATTGGTACAATTTTTAGTGAAGCTATTTAACTCATATAGATATTTTGTTGTGAAACAATCCTGTGTTGAGCAAGTGGAATTACTCGTGAAAAGATTAAAATCTACTCACACTGTTGGTTGTTGGTACTGTGGCTGATAAGCTCCGGCTGGTGGACCATAATTCCCTGCTGGTGGACCATAAGCTCCTGCTGGTGGACCATAACCCCCTGCTGGTGGACCATATGCTCCTGCTGGTTGTCCATATGGAGGGGCTGAACCGTAGTTTGGACCTTGTTGATAAAAGCCTTGACTCATCTTTCTGGTGAGACGAAACAAAATCTTAATCGGTCAGCATGTGACAAAAAAATAGTATCTTATAATGAAAGTTTTAAGATTGCGTGATATTTGGTTCCCTTTTAATATATGTGTATTAGTGTTCCTAGACTTATAGTACATTTACATCCGGAAATATAAAAATAAAGTGTATTTTTAGTCGGAAATGTTTAATTTAATGAATAAGCTCGTCTATGAAGTTACCAATTAGAAAATAAAAGTTTTCATGTTTTAAGAGTGTTAAAGGTGTTTATAATTAACAAACACTCACCTTTGATTCTAATTTTTTGTCTCAAGTTGTAAATCAAAACGACAATAATATCATAATGGTCATGTGATGTTATTTTCCAACAATCCTATTTTTAGACGAATGGACACATGATAACGAATAAATCAACGTATAACTAACAGTATTGCATGACGAATACCGGAACAAGAGATTTCATCACCTCTGTACATTGTATACATGTACCAATGTTTTTAAATATAAATTATATTGATTTATACAATAAAACAAGTGTGGACACAGATCAGTGTGGACAGTATGATAGGATGTTTGAGTGTTTTATATGACAAAAGGAGTTCTATGTTTTATGTTTTCTATGTATTAACTGTGTTGCACAATGACAACCAACATGAGGATTAGGGGTGTTGTTTATGTAATATTTAGTTTTTTTATGTTCAACAGATACTAATTGCATTAATTACCAAATGATTATGATAGAATATATATGTGTTCCACATCTTTGATTTTGGATACATTTTGTAGCTAGGAGAGGAACACATAATAGGTTCATTTTTTTCTTAATGTGATTTTTTTATATGGGAGATGGTATCTGAGAACATGTATTTGCTTACTATTTGTATGGTTCTATTTATATTACTTTGTGGGGGATTGTCAGTATCATAAGTAAAAGATTTCGGTTAAATGTGGAAATTGTTTCTCATTTTAGAAGACATTTAATGTTTTTTAGTAATGACAATGCCTGACATGATGATTGGGCTAGATGAGCTAGAAAGTGAATTTCTGTGTTATTTTTTATTAATTCTTTGAAAATATCTCCTCCAAAGCTGGTCAAAGCAAAAAAAAAGTTTTGACCAGTATGAAAATGATATCAACAAAAGAACCTTTGTGAGCATGCTTCAAAGACTCATAACTAACTACAGAAGTCATATGATAAAATGTCAAGTGGATATTATGAACATCTACTTAATATGTCTAAATATCTAAAATGTTTTAGTATTGAATATGAAAAAGCTATTGCAAAAGTATTCTCTTTTCAGTTTTTTTGTTATATGGATACAAATATAAGTGATACCAATACAGTAAGGCAGTTTTGTTATGGTATGAAAGTGTAGTAACTAACATTTACTGTTAATTCACACAAATTAAGAAATAAACAAATGAATGATAAATGTTGAACATGTACAATGAAATATATTTTAGAAATCAATTAGGCCAGATAGGCCTTATAAATTCTGATCTTTTTCTTAACATACTGAATGACCATTTACACTCAGAACTGAGTCACCAGTAGTCAGTACAGATGTAAAAAAAAAAAAAATGTGGATAGTGTCCACATGTTGACACAGATGATGCCCCCACTTGCATATCATATAGTTATAAAGGGACATAACTGAAGTGGTAAAAGTGACGCTATCCAAATTTGAACTTGATCCTAGTTTTGTGGTAATAAGCATTGTGTGCAAGTCTCATAACATTTGGTTGAGGCTAACTTAAGTAGAGAACAGAAACTAAAAATTCAGCAATTTCTATTTGTAAACACGCAATAAATAATTATAACTCTAGAACGGTTGTGTATAAGTTTTATAACATTTGGAAGTTAGAGAACGGAAATGAAAAATTCAGCAATTTTTATGTTTATAAAGGGACATAACTCAAGAATGGTAACAGTGTTGCCACCAAATTTCGTACTTAATCTGTATTATGTAGTAATTAGCATTGTGTATAAGTTTCATAACATTTGGTTGAGGCAAACTAAAGTTAGAAAACGGAAACAAAAAATTTGTACTTGATCTTAGTTTTGTGGTAATGAATATTGTGTATAGGTTTCATAATGTTTGGTTGGGGCAAACTTAAGTTACAGAATGGAAACTAAAAATTTTGCAATCTTTCAATTTATAAAAGGGCATAACTCAATAATGATTAAAGTGACACTACCCAAATTCAACTTGATTTGTGTTTTATCAGTGGAAGTCAAAATTAAACATTGCATTGTATAAAGCATTGACTGTTGCTGATTCAACTATAATCATGGACAAAGGAAGATAATTCCAATTAAAAAATTACTTGATATTTAGAAAAAAATAAAAATTTTGAAATTTTTCCGTTTCTTAAGGGGCATAACTCTAGAATGATTAAAGTGACGCCAAAATTCAAACTTGATCTGTGTTTTGTGGTAATAAGCATTGTGTATAAGTTTCATAACATTTGGTTGAGGCAAACTAAAGTTAGAGAACAGAAACGAAAAATTCAGCAATTTTTCCATTTGTAAAGGGGCATAACTCTAGAACGGTAAAAGTTACAAAACCAAAATTCAAACTGGATCTGTGTTTCGTGGAAATAAGCATTGTGTATAAGTTTCATAAAATTTGGTTGAGGCAAACTAAAGTTAGAGAATGAAAATGATAAATTCAGCAATTTTCCATTTGTAAAGGGGCATAACTCTAGAACGGTAAAAGTGACGCCACCAAAATTCAAACTTGATCTGTGTTTTGTGGTAATAAGCATTGTGTATAATTTTCATAACATTTGGTTGAGGCAAACTAAAGTTAGAGAACGGAAACCAATTTTGGGACGTACGTACGTACAGACGGACAAGGGTAAAACTTAATTCCCAGTCCGATACGGCTGGGGCATAATAAAGTGTAACAAAAGAACTGAGCATCATATTGCTAGTAGCGCCAGTAGCATTGTTTGGTGAATTTGTGCTTCTTTTTTTTAGTTTGGCTAATGGACAAAAAATGTTTGGTTCAAATCTAAATAAAATGCTTTCATCTCCCTATTACTTACATTGTTCATAGAATGGATACTACTTTGACAATTCCTTGTACATGAGAGTTGTCTGTCAAATCTTTATTTCACAAAGAATGAATTGCATAACAATGAACTGAGCTCAAAGCAAAGCACTTTAATAATACACTTAGACAATGAGCTCAATCCAGTGATATACTTTGTACTACAGGTCCTTCATGAACATCCTACTGGCCAAAACCATATCTCACAAACATGCCATACTACATGGTTGGATCAGAAGTCCTGAAAAAGACATGAACTTTATTAACATATTTTAAGTATATACACCGGTTAAAACTTTCACAAATTTGTGGTAAAATTATTCAGTATCTAGCAACTATCAATCGCTTCATGCACAAATTGATATAGGTTGAGTACCCCTCTGTCAGAAATAAGAACATACCTCCACCTAATTTTAGTTTACTGATGAAGAAACATTCAAAACTATAAAATGTTATCTAATAGACTAGCTGCAATGAAATCCCAGTTTTCTAAAATGGTACCAAAAACTCAAAAGATTTTAAACTATGCATTTTAAATATTGCAAATAAACATGCAATAATAATTCTAAAAAATTTGCTATATTTTTCCTCATTTTGTCTTTTGTTCGAGACTGTATATTGACCTCTAGATGTCTTTCAATTACATCCAGTTTGGCGTGGGTTGATGTTTGATTGTTGTACATGTTATATATCGACGTGGGATTTGTTTATATAAATTAGGCGTGAAATAATTTTGGTTAACTGAAATCCTTTAACTTACTTCCAAATTAATGTTAATACTGAGGGAAAAAATTACATTGCTAAATAACCACTTTAAAACACATACTAACTTTTTGAGAGGAAGGCATAATGCATGTAACATCTATTAGATCTTTTTTTAAAACATTCTAAACTACTGATAAGTGATAAAGTTTGTTAACTGTTACTTACCTTCAAAAGGGGGGTTGCATTCACTTTACTACATATACATACAAATATAATCAACAATGCTGAGTGCAACACCTAGGATAAATAGAGGATTGTTTTGTAAGAATAGTTGCTGAAATAAGCAGGCAATATTCAAAGTAGAATAAAAAATATTACAGGACTGTGTTTTAAAGTAATAAGCATTGTGCATGGCTCACGTTACCATGCTACTGGGGCAACAAAGTCGCTTTCCCCGGTCGCCACTTCGCTTTGACCGACCTTCAAAAGCGAAATCTAGTCGCCCTGTTGTTTACGATACTCGCTTTCAGTCGCTTTCGTCATTGGCAATATTCAACATTTACCAAGTCGATGAAACAGCAATTTTTCATTTGAAAGTAAAGAAATTCAAAGACGTAAACAATTTATTTTCTTTAGGAGGTTAAAGCATTGATTTTAAAGTTGGTTGCATGTTATTTTCATAAAGACAATTTTTTTATCACTTCTGGTACTTGTTACTCAATTGTAGATCATATCATTCTAACTTTCGGCAAAATAAGCTTGTTACTTCATTAGAACGTGATGAAATTAAAGATTTCTTGCTGTTGTGCAATACACTGTGCTGTTGCGCAATACTTAGTAAATCTGTCGTCAGACTATAAACAAATAAAGTTCAATTAATTCCCAGTCATATTAGAAATTTATGAAACTGTAAAGGGAGCTTGCATCAATAGATATAAACAATTCACTTAAGTTTCATGAGAATTGCTGACTGCATTTTTGAGCTATTGTCCGAAAACTGGAAAATCACCCCTTTTTTAATGAATAAAACCCCATAACTCAGAAATGTAAAATGTAAAATTTATAAAATTTTAAACGGAGCTTACATCAATATAGATATAAACAATTCACCAAAGTTTCATACGAACTGCTGAAAGCATTTTTGATTTTTGTCCGAAACTGGAAAATCCCCCCTTTTTTCATGAATAAAACCCTGCAACTCAGAAATGTAAAATCTAAAATATATAAAAATCGAAAGGGAACTCATGTCAATAGATATAAACAATTCACCACAATTTCTTGCAAGTTGGTGAAAGCTTTTATTGTCTGAAAACAGGAAAATCCCCCTTTTTTTAATGAATAAAACCCCATAACTCAGAAACGTAAAATCTAAAATTTATAAAAAACGAAAGGGAGCTCATGTCAATAGATATAAACAATTCACCGAAGTTTTATGCAAATTAGTTAAAGCGGTTTTGAGTTAATGTCCGACATGTTGACAACGGACAGACGGACAACGGTATACCATAGTACGTTTTGTAAACGGGCGTATAAAAATGACAGGGTGTCATACCACACCAAAACCTTCTGAAAGAAACACTAAAGTTGGCAAACAAATTTTTTTTTTTTTCATCGACAACCCTGTATAACCTTGCAGCAGTATCGAGTCTACATGCATTACC